AGATATCTTACAAGGAAACTTTAAACCTGATTTCTACCTGAAATACATACAGAAGGATCTTAGATTAGCTATTGCACTGGGCGATTCTGTCAACCACCCAACTCCCATGGCAGCTGCTGCCAACGAGGTAAGAGTTGTCCAGTGTTCAGACATGTGTTCTTCATCTATTCAGCAGAGCAATTTGTCCACAAGAGATGCAAATCTAAGAATTACATAATCTCTAATACAAGGAAACAATGATTGAAATATATTTTGACTAGGGTGACATTGGATTTGTTTTGATTGTAGAAGCCCTTAGAATGTCACATCGGGAAACACAGATGGCCTCAACAAGACCTGCAGATCAGAATCATTCTGATCTGCACTGCTCTGATTACTTGACATACTGTGCAGTTCTCTGATTGCAGTGGCCAACAAGGGAATTTTTCTGCTGGGGAAAGGCTTCACTTAAGTGCAGGCTCTGATCCTTTTCTGATTTCTGTTCTCTAGGTCTATAAACGAGCAAAAGCATTGGACCAATCTGACAACGACATGTCTGCAGTGTACAGGGCCTACATCCATTAGGCTGCACCCTTCTTACTGTTCATACGATGATTATTGATTAATATTATTATGATACTGGGTTTTAACTCTGGACCAGTCCATCTCTGTCTTTCCATTTCCTTTTATACACAGACTTTGAGACCTGCCACCAAGGCAGCTGCTGCGGTGAGCCTTCCCCTGTGGCAGGAGGGGGGGAGGAGGGGGCTCGGATTGTTGCAATCTAATTAGAAAAGTCCATGCCATGCACTGACAGTCATGGGACGGAACAGCGGCGATTGTTCAGAAGCTCTGAGGCAACTCTGCCAGAAACCCGCTGCTTGGCTGCTTTTATTTTCCTCTTTTTTTTTTTGCTTGTCCAAGATGCTGTTTCTAACAACCCCTTTTCTCCTTTGCTGTGAAATAATGTGTATGTTGGACTCTCTGCATCAAGGAGACAGATGACAAACACCCCATCTGCCTGTGAATATCACTCAAGTCCTTGGTCCCAAGTAAGGTGAGGAGCGTTCCTGTTAATTGGCACTGTTAGAGAACAGAACACCTCCCATGGAGGAGAAGGGCAGTTCCAGAGGGTAATGGAGGTTGCATGCAACACTGTCATGATTCTATTCTTTTTAAACTTCCACCTCCCCAGCACCTTGATGGAGGAATTCCTGTACTGTTAAAGACAACACATTGAATCCATGTCTTCCCCTGTACAGACAGCTATAGCTTAGGGAACACAAACTGTACTGAAAATGGGAGAATGCCAGTGTCGATGAGCCTCCTAAAAGGCTAATCACAGCCCATCCAAGACAGATTGGAGAGCAACATGTTTGCATAGAAAACTGCAGGAGAAGCACAGAGCCGAAAACTGGGCTAGAGATTTTACTTGCTCCCGGCCTTAGCTTATGTTCTGCTACTTCTTGCTTTTTTTTTTTTTTTTTAACCCTTGTAGTCCCTAATTACAAAGGTGTCTTGGATTATAACACTGTCATAAGCAGAGTGATGAGTCTGAAAGGGGCGAGAAAAATGATCCAAGAGGTTAAGAATCCTGAGCTCCTTTCCACGGTCTCTGGCCTTTGCATGGTTGTTACATCTCTCAGCCTGTTTGCCCATCTGTAAAGGTGGGTGATGATTACCTACCTCATAGGGATACTTTTGTGTACTGACTAGTGATCTTTATACATGTCAGATTTTCCATACATGTTCTTAGTGTTCCTGCTCTGGGTACAAAGTAGCACAGCATGAGCCTTTTCCCTGAAACTGTGACTTTACTTGTGGACAGACACCAACTTCTAGAAAGAGCAGTAACTAAAATGGGGAAGGGAAAGACCACTGCTGAGCTTTAGTTTAGAAATGGGTGACATGAACTGCACAGATGCCAAGGCTAGAGATCAGAGATGCTCTCAGTGTTGATAGCAGAGCAACCAAGAGTCCAAAGGATGCCTGTCTCTCAAAATGTGCAGGGTGGGGGTTTTTTTGTTTGTTTGTGTGTTTTTTAAATTCTCAGCCTTTTAGAAGTGTTCTTGCATTTTAGATTTTAGAGTTAGAAAAATGCCAAGTGAGAAACTTTTGGCCAAAATCACTTCTCTGTGGCACAGTCTCCTTCTTTCCTTGGGCTGGGATTCTGAAAGGAAAAGGAACAGATTCAAATTAGGCTGAGTTCCTTTAAATCCCCAAGGTTTGCCCCTACCACTTTTTTTTTTTTTTTTTTTTTTTTTCCTAGGAACTTAATTGGCTGTGTAAGGAAATTTCCCCTGGATTAGAATTTCTTCCCAATCCTGCTTTGTGCAGTGTATGGGTATGGTTGTGGGGCACCTTGTTAAGAAACAGAGTATCAGATACTCATTTTGAATCACAACATCTAATGCCTCATGCTCTAAATGTTACTTTGAGTATTTCACCTCCTGTGATCTCTGTTCTTTTTGGGCTCATGCTGTGTTCTGCGTTACTTATGTCCTGGGGTGAACACCTGGCAACAGAGCTGTCAGACCTCACTGCCCGTTGGTCAGTGTGTGTGAGCGATGCTAGTCGTACATCCATGTTCCTTTGGCAGTGCCGCTGCCGTCCTGCATGTAGGTATCCATGTTAAAAGGCACAGAAATGTGCCCAGGATAACCAGCCATTGACCTGCTTTGGCACACTGCGCTTCCCCATCCACATCTCCGCTGTTTAGCACCTGAAGTCCTTGGTTAAACATGCCACAGTAAGGAAATCACTCAAACGGATTATGCATTGAGGGCATCTGGGGGAAATTGTGGGTTTGCAGGTAGGAGATGAGACTACAGATTTTAGAGTGGAAAATTTTTGCGAGGAAGAGGGAGGTACTGTCTCAGGTGCAATTGAGAGTGAACTGTGCCAAGCCAGTGCAGCAGCATCCCCTATGTGTCCCTGCCCTTTTGGGCCAGAGTGAAGGTGAATGGGTCTGAGCAAAGGTAATGGAGGATCTTCTTCTCTGTTACTTTGTGGTGCCTCTGGATACAGTGAGAATGCAAAAGGAGTTCTCAAGTCCTGTGACAGATGTTTCATAGTGAATTCCAAGAACCGGTCCCTAGGCAGCTCACTACTGTAGGGTTTGTTTTCCAGAAATACTGCAGTTCCCAGAATGGAGATGATTATTTCTGTGGGAGTGGTGGGTACGGACTAATTCAACACTGTAATTTGTCCTGGGAAGGTCTGACTGCAGCTTTGGGCTGATGTCCAGTGAGAGTGGCTGTAGAGTGGCTGTGGTGCTGCCTGGCCAGCTGTACAGTCACAGGTGTGCCAGGGAGGAGCAGAAGGAGACCAAGAGCTTTGATGTGGCTGTGAAGTGAGGAGGAGGGATGGAAATGGGGAAAACCAGACTGTTCCAGATGCCAGTTGAGATTGCTGTCAGTCTCAGTCGGATTCTTGTATTTATGTCTGTGGCTTCTGAACATGGATCTCAATCTGTTTCCTAGGCCTGAGATTTGGGGGAGGGGAGTGGGGGAAGCAGTGGATTGAGAGATGCTCTAATAAAACTAGCTAGTCAATGTTGTCTTAATATTGTTGACAATTCTGTAAAGTTTCTTTTTATGAGGATTTGTTTTAGCAATTTGCTTTCTTTTGACTCCCTCCTTTTTAAAGAGAAAATGTGACACTTGTGAAAAGCTTGTAAGAAAAGCAACTTCCTTTTTCCTCGATGATAGATCCTATAGTTCATTAAGGTTGTGAATTTTTATTTTCTTGCCTTGTTTTTAATTAACGTTTGTCATTCAGAATAGGATGTGTGGAAAATGTTTAAATGGCAAAACAGAGGTTTTTTTGTTTGTTGGTTTTTTGTTTGTTTTTTTTCTTTTTTGTGCAATTAACAAAGCTACTGGCAAAAAGAATAAAACCTTTCTTGGTAACACAATGTTCTTGTGACACTTTCTAAAGCCTGTCAGAGTTGTCTTGAGGCATTAAGGAAATATGTGTGTTCCACAGAATATTAGAAACTCAGAGCTGCTGAGAAACCACAGTGTTCCCGAGAGCACTTTGACAATTGCTGAAGCCTGGAACTGTCAGTGAGGCATTGCAGAGGATGAGTTTGGATTAATTCCAGCCTCCGTGTGCAGAGGGCTCCGTGCAGCTGGGATGAGAGGAGGATGCTTAGTTTTAATGTTCTGGTGTTGATGACAACTTGTGTAAGTGATGGGTTGGGGTATCCATCCTTCTGGCATTTGGGGTTTTTTGAACACTAAGTCTTATGATCAGCCTGGTCCAGCGGAAGGGGCGTGGAACGAGACTAGCGATAAGGTCCCTCAACCCAAACTATTCCATGATTCTATGAACACTAACTCAGCAGTGGGTTGGGCATTCCAAGACACGATCCCTCAAGTGAAGTCTTTGCAAGCTCTGGAATACTGTTTGTGGATAATCGGGCAGCTTTTGCAGTTGGACAGCTGCAGCTGTTCCTGCTGAGGCACGAGAGGCTGGTGCTCACGCCAGTGGGCTCCAGGTACAGGAGTTACAGGTGCCCAAGGAAGCACTCCCTCTAGAGCACTGCCACTAGAAGCAACGCAGAACGTGACAAAGTCGAGAGCTGTGCTTGCAGCAGGAACTGGTGCTGTTGGAAGCCTTCCCTGCTCCGGGAATGAAGGATCATTTCCACGAGGGGCCGATCCGATGAAGGCTCTGTGTGCGTGGCCCCCTCGCTCCCGCTCGAACCCGCCGATCTCACTGCCAGGATAAATATATTTGTGTTGAGAAGAGGCGATGAGACTCGCACGTTTTCACGCATTCCTGAGGATTCTTACGCGCAGCTCGGTTTGATCCCCGCGTTCGGCCGGGGCCGGGGCTGTGAGGGGCCATTGCCGTGAGGCGTCGTGGGCGGGGCCGGGAGGGGCAATGACCGTGAGTGGGAGGGGCCCTGGACGGGATGCTGCCCAATCAGGCTCTGCCGGGCCGTGCCGTCAGCCAATGAAGGAGGGGCGGGGCGGTGCCGCAGCCAATGGCGGCGCCCGGGGCGGAGCCGCGGCCGCCGGGGGCGGTGCGGACGGCGGCGGGATGGCGGCGGCTATGACGAGCACGGCGGAGCGGGCGGTGCTGGTGAGTCAGGCGGGCGCTCGGCGGGGTCGAAGCGAGCGGCAGCGGCCCCGCCCCGGGCACAGCAGCCCTGCCGGGCCCCCGCAGGCCCACTCTGGCTGCTCGGGCGGGGAGCCGCGGTATGGGGTGGAAAGGCCGTCCCTTGTTCCCGCGCCCCGGCCTGGGCCGACCGCCCGGTCCCGACAGCGGGGCAGCTGCCCTGGCTGCAGGCGGTGCCCGCGTTCCGGCCGTGTGGCCGGGCCAGGCTTTCGGGCCTTCCTCCGGCCTCCCCCGGCGGCGGCGCTCGGGTCTCCGTGCCAGTGTGCCCCGGGCGGGACCGCCCTGCTCCCGGCGCACCCCGAGTGTGCACCGTGACCTTGGTGACAGGCCCCGCACATGGCGACGGCCAGAGCCGCCCTGGGGACCTGGTGCAGCAGCGGGGATGGCGCAGAGCAGCCGCCACTGCGGCTTCCCCGGGACAGCGGCTGCGAGGAGGAGCAAGACCTCCGCTCTGGGGAGGCGGTTCAGAGATCCATCGGGCTGAGTGGAAAGCCACGGGGGAAAACAGGTCTTTCTCACGTTAATGTGGTTTGGAAGGTTATGAGCAGCATTCCCAAAAATACAGCTATGTAGTGCACAGACGTGGTGCATGAACTTGACTCAGTCTGAAATTAGTGTGGAGGGGGAGATTTCTTGCTGTGACTAGAGGGGAGAAATATACCAGTGGGATTTTGAAGTAGAAACACCTGCATAGTGCCGGTGGGTGATGGAGGCACTGAAGGAGTCTGCTGCACCCATGGGATCACTCTTTCTTTGGGAATCTGGAGGAGAGCGAGCACTACAGAAAGAGCAGGGAGATCTGTCTTTGTGGTGAACAGTGATAGGACTCGAGGGAATGGCATGGAGTTGTGTCAGGGGAGGTTTTGGCTGGATATTTGAAAAAGGATCTTCACCCAAAGAGTGGTCAGGCACTGGAACAGGCTCCCCTAAGGCAGTGGTCACAGCCCCAGGGCTGACAAAGTCCAAGAAGCATTTGGACAATGCTCTCGGAGACATGGTGGGATTGTTGGCATGTCCTGTGCAGGACCCGCACTTGGACTTGATGGGTCCCTTCCAGCTCAGGACAGTCTGTGATTCCGTGATCAGTATGATTCCCAGAAATCCAGACCAGGATTAAATGGTGGAAGTCAGTGGTCCTGCACCCAGACTTCTTTGAAGGATAACCGGGAGTCCTGCCTGGCTTTGTTGTGTGTGCTGGCTTTGGGTGAATATTTGCTGAAGCAAACTTGGCCTTCTGGGAAAACTCTTGTGTGAGGTGCTGACACATCAATGAGTGGTTATTTTGTGTGCCTCATGGTGAACGGGAGCTGTCTACCAGAGAAACCACAAGCTTAAAGTTCTGAGTTGACCACACCTTGCCCATTTTTCTTTGGGCAATCTGCTCAATTAATTCCCTTTCAAAACTTTCTACATGGAAAATTTCTCTTTTCTTACAGGAGTCTGCTTGCTTTTGTCTCCACTTCTCTGATGATCTGGATGAGATCTCATGGTTTAACAGAAGCATTAGCTGTGCTTTGAGAGTCTGCTTTATACAGCCTTCTCTGTGGCAGCAACTAATGGAGGCCCGAGACAATGAGTCGTCAGATCCAAACTTGTTGGTTACTGAATTTGGCCCAGTGATTGTCTGTGTCTCCCCCACCCCATTTTCAATTTGGCTTGCTGTGCTTTTAGGCTGCTTTTACTTGGGGAAATGCTGGGAGGGAGGGGAGGGCATTTTGGTTTTTATCTTTGTTTCTCACCATCTAATTGGCAACAAATTTGTCTGCAAATTGGCTCAGTTTTGCCTGTGCCAGGAACTGGAAATGGATCTCCCTGGCTTTACCCCAACCCACGAACTTGTTTCCTCCCCCAACCTGTTCAAGAGGGGCAGTGGGGAAGGTTGTGTTGGTGTCTGGCAGCCAGGTCAGCCCATCCCAGCAGCTTAAAAAGATGCTCCAGATTTTGAAGCAGTAGGATTTGTACTTTGCTCTAAAATTTGCATCCCGTGCTGCCTGTTCTTTCATAATTCTGGGATTATTGGTGCAGTGATTTGTGTGAATGCTGCTTTGTTAAACAAAGTCAGGACAAGAATGAGGACAGTTCATTGGACTGGGATAGACAAGTGGAGATGTGGAGACTGAGGTGTTTGAGCAAACCAGGAAGAAATCTTTTTCTTTTCCTCCTTGATTTAAACAGCACAGAAACAGCACCACACTTGGAACTTAAATAATTTTCACATGCGTCTGAGAGATTTACTTCCACTGTTTGACTTCTCATGATTCCACTACTATTTTCCCATGATGTAGGAAGAAGAGTTTAAATGGCTTTTACAAGAAGAGGTCCATGCTGTTTTGAGGCAGCTGCAGGATATTTTGAAGGTGAGGTTCAATTTTGTTAATTTTGTCTGCGTTTTGTGTTGTGGGTTTGTTTGCCCTCCCATGTGGAGGAATGGTCATAGGTTTCCCCTGGAGGAAAAAATTCTTAGTAGAGGCTGTATGGAAACATCCAGCACCCATGTCCAGTGCTGTCCCTAGTGCTTGCTTGCCCTCTGGTTTTGAGGACTCCCGATAGAGCTGATTTCCCCAAGATTACTTCTTTCTTGACTCTCTTTGCTGAGAGCTGCTTTGAAAAGGTAAGTGGAGGCAGCCAGACCTATCTGCCAGGCATTTGCCTGAGAGGTGAATATTTTCTGGAACAGAATCTGGATCTGCCTGTAGCTCCGTCATGTGATGGTGGAAACGAGCGTGATGGCCTTTAGCTGACAGCTGCTACTTGTGCAGTGATTAGTAGCATGCACTCTCCTCGTTCAAAACCGTCCCACCCTCGACATGCTCACTCCTCTGCTGGTACCTGCCCCTTTCAGAGGCCTGATGTGCTCAGCTGAACCAGGTGGGCAGCACCTTTCTCCAGCCTGAGCATGGGCTGCAGCTTTGGCTCTTTCCAAGCAGCCAGAGGGGAATTGGCCGAGGGGGATTGTGTGCATTGACAGTGTACCATGTGCCTGCTGGGTCAGTGTTCAACAGGCCCAACCCCTTAACACTGAGGTTTTGGGGAATTAGTGAGTGATGGAAGAGCAGGGCCAAAAATGTGGAGGTAAGGGGCAGGTGCCAGAGTGCCATGGTGTTGACTCAGAACCCCAGGATGGGAGTCAGTAGCAGGTGACAAAAGCCTGCAGTACCTTTATATGTAATACCTTTTTTTTGAAGAATTTGTCATAGTTTTAAGGGTGAAGTGTGATTACAGGACAGAGATTAAAGCACTGTCACCAGCCAGTATAACCAGTTGGGGGACTGATTTTCACTCCAGACTTCCCTCAGCTGTGATAAGGGGCAGCACCATGGTGGCTGAGGGCATGCAGCGCTGGGCTGTGAGGGGTGCTGCTCCTTCTGTGGGCAGCTTGGGGACCCCTCTGGCACTGCCCAGATCCGGGGTGTGGGATTTCCAAACGTCTTTTGCTGTGGGTTGCACACACTGAGCCTTCTGGACTGTGCTGGTCCTGCAGTAGGATGAAATCCAGGGGCTCTGCTCAGTGGGCTTCAGGAGGCTGGCAGAGGTGAGCACTCACCGTTTGGCCACTTGCTGGTGTCCGTGTTATCTTTGTTCCTGACTCATGGTGCAGATGCTCCAGCACTCACTGTGTCCTCTCTCGGGCAGGAGGCCTCCCACCGTTTTGCTCTGCCCACCAGTGGCTCAGGAGCAGCTGTCAGGCAGGAGAATTTCGTACTGAGCACATCAGGGTAAGTGGTGGTGGTGATCAGTTGGTCATTTCCCTCTACAGCAAACAGGTGCAGATCCTGGAGCATCTGTGGTGAAGGGCTCTGTAGCACCCCTGGAGTAGTGGGCTTTTCTTTAATAGAAGATTTTGCTTTAAGGAAAACAAACAAACAAACTCTCATGGCAGGTGAAGGTAACAGTTGATAGCTGTGTTTGAGGGCTGCCCGAGCCAGCCTTGTGCTGTTTCCTGCTGACACCTGGTATCACTGATTCCTTGCTCCATGCTGGTGTGGGCAGTTTGCCAAGGGGCGTTTTTATGACTCTGGGCACAGGGAGTTGCAGTTACAAGACTCGAATTCTGCTCTTGGCTCGGTTTCTGACTGTGTGGACAAATCTTAACCTTTGCCCTAATCTCCCTAAGACAGTAAATCTCCTTCACACACAGCAAACTGAGGCTTGTGCAGGAGGTGATGCAGACATGCAGTTCTTCTGAAATTGATGTCCAGTTTTTGATCTTCACCATAGCCTTTAGTCTCAATAGCTGCTCTGGCAAAGGTCGCAAGCTTGTCACAAAGCAAGTCCTTAGGAACGGCACAGTGAGCATTGCAAGGGGTGATGCAGTGATTCTGTACTGGGTTTGAAGATTGTCTTCTTCAGATCTTAAAATATTAAGCTTAATCTTAGTTTTCGTTTGTTGTTGTTGCAAGGTGAATCTTGCAAAGTGTTGGTCTAAAGAGTCTCTGTCTAATGTAGTAGAGTGCAAGGTGTGGCCAAACTGAGTTCCTGAAGGCCCAGGTGTTTCAGTCTTCTCCCCTCACTGTTCATTGTAGATGTGAGTCATCTTGCAGGATTTTTCAAAGGGTTTGAGGTGTTTTTTATTTATTTTGGGTTGTGGGGTTTTATTTATTTATCTACGTTTTGTTTATATTAGGTTTTTTCCTTGGGATGAGGTGTGGTTTGTAATTTTCAACTCCTGTATTAACCACCTAACCCTCCAATGTCAGTAATTCATTTATTGTCTTATGCCTGTGCCTGCTGGAGCTGTTTGTAACAACAACCGAACTGTCGAGAGATGATTCATGGGATAAGTATGGGATTAGAAATGAAGGTAATGTTTTAGGCGGGGCAGTTGGGGTGAGGTGGCCAGTAAAGAATATGACAGCAGCTGGCCATAGGCCAAGAGCTGGGGACTTCGAAAGCGCATGTAGTGTTCAGGTACTGGGCAGGAATAGCGTTCAGACCCCGCACAGGAAGAACTGGGCTGGCTACACAGGACTGGGAGGGGCAGGGTCGAGTTGGCAGTCATTAGGTGCCTCTTGTGACTGGTGTTGCCCAGATCTTTCCTCTCATTCCAGCACAGACCAGGTGAAAGGTGTGTTGACACTACAGGGAGACGCCCTATGTCAAGCTGTGAGTACTTGCCATGCTTCTTGCTTTATACTACAAGGGGTGGGTGTCATCCTTATTACCCTTTGATCACCTCAGGGTGGGAGGTCACCCTGGTTATGTGTTGCCAGTGATCAGTGTTCTTTGTCAGTCTTCCCTAATAGGCCTTAAATACTAGATGTTTCAGCAATTGTTGCAGTTTGTCAAGATCCAGCATCTGACATTCCCTCCCACCACCCCCGCACTGTGGTGAATGCTGGAGTCAACTTCCATGGGGATTCCTTGCCTTTACCACCTTTGTTGTGTAGTATCAAATTTCCTTGGGGACTTTCTGAGTTGAGGTCATGTGTCCTGCCTGGATCCCAATTCACTCAATGCCTTTAAACCTATCTTTTGTGTTAACATCACCTTGTGGGAGCACTGAGGTTCTGACCGTGCCATGACTATGGAATGCAGCTTGCCAGGGTGGTCTGGAAGAATGGGGTGGGACTGGCAGCCCCCATGTTTTGCATGCAGGCATTTCTTGCTCTCATGTGTTTATTTCTTTCTTCAAGGATGTTAATCTGAAAATGCCCAGAAACAATCAGCTCCTGCACTTTGCATTCCGGGAAGACAAACAGTGGAAATTGCAGCAGGTACTGTTGGCTTTAGATGCCCACCCGTCTGTAGTGTCTGTGCCCTCTGAGCAGTCGTTGTAGTCCTTTGAGAGAGACTGTTGATGTCCATTTCACATGAGTTTCAGTGGTAGAAGCTCAGGGAGGAAGCAGGTGCAGTTAAATTCAGTTACAGTGCTGGGTGGAAGAGATGGGTTCTGCTCATTCTTGACACACCAGCAATCTGAAGGCTGTCTGCATAGCAGTCATGATCCTTTAAAAGAGTGCCCAAGGTGCCTATGCAGGACTGTCCTGTGTCTGCCTATGACACCCAGGCTAGCAGGGCAAAGAGCAGCTTCAGGGGCCTCAAGTAGCTTGCTGTTATTCTCTTATGGATACATTTGTTTACACTGAGGACATCATTGTGCTCCTGTAGCATGTCTGAGTTCCCTCAGGTAAGGAGTTAAAAGAACGCAGCTATCCAGAACTGGAATCTCTTTCCCACCATTTTGCTGGGAGCTACCTGATTTCAGGACCTGAACTAGTGCCTGATTCTGAGGAGGTGGTTTACTACAGTTACTTTGTCAAAGCTGAGTAGGTTGGAGGAAGATGTATTCCTTGTGCTTCCCCTTGCCATGGCTCAGATTTTTCTAGGTGATGAGTGCATTTGGCATTGAGTGCCATTCCCAACAGCTGCTTTGGCAGCAAAGTGAAAGCTCTACCTGATAACTTTGTAGAAATCTAGAAAATTGTGTACTTGCGATGTTAATGCCAAACTCAACTCGATTTGTTTATGCCTTGCAACAAGGCAAGGAAGTTTTTCTGACAGCACTCAGCAGTGCATCCTGTTTTGTGGCTGTTTTGTACTGCTGCCTGGTTAATAGGCTTCTACTGGCTTTTGTGGAAAACACCTTCCTTTATTTACTTGCAAGCATTTTGTGTTGTAATGTTGTTCAGATGTGGAGCGTGAGTGCCTCAAGGGCTGTGTGCAAAAGCATTTAAAGTGATTATGTGGTGATCTTTCGCCTCTGAATTAAAAATGAGCATCTCAAAGATCGTATCTTCCCTTAGTGAGTGGTGCCATTTGGAGTTTTGTTTGTCTGTGCAAAGTGAAGTCATTGGTAAGAATTGTAGTATAGTCATGTTTTTGAGGAACACAAGTGCAGGCACACAAGTTTTGAGGAACTTGATTAGAAAACAGCAAAAACAAGGGGGAATATGAATGAAGCAAATCATTATGACAGCAGGATTGGCATTGCTTGGTTGGGTAATGCTGCCAGGAACCATTCAACTTGCTCAGAAACATCTAGGAGGTGTAAAGGCTGAAGGGGGTGATGTTTGGAAATGCCTAAGTACCTGCAGAGTCTCTCTGCAGTTTGACAGTGAACTTACCATCTCTCTCTTCCCTCTGTAGCCTCCCATACCTGTGCTTTCTAAGAGCAGAGCTGTTCTGTGATCCTTGAGTTCTGCATGAGAAGGAACCAGTGTCCAGATCTATGCCAGGGAGGCCTCTACAAGGCTGTCCTGGGATCTAGGATTGCTGGAGGGCAGTGTAGATCTATCAAACTACAAATACCCCAAGCTGTGTTGTCTGTCTCCCAGCAGACATTTCTCATACAAGCTTTCAGGCGTCTCACTTCCATTTATTGCACCCTCTCATTTACTCCTTGTTGTTTTTTTTTCTTTTTTCAATTTTCTGGTTGCTGCCTGAAGCTGAACACCAGTCACTTTCTGCCCGGGCCATTGTCTTCCTCTAGTTTGTCCTTGCTCCCATGAAAGCACTGGGATACACCTATGATACCTTGCTTTGGTAATTGTGTTCCTCTTGCTTGAGAGGAACTTGAGCCAGCTGTGTCTTGAGTCTGTTCCAGTCCCACACAATGGCACAGCTTCTTGATGCTGGAGATAACTCTCAATCCCAACAATTTTAGTTTAGAAGGACTCTGGGATACTGCCAGAGACGCTGCATTAGAAATCATCAATGTAATCAATGCCATTGGTTTTAGCTTTGATTGGTTGGTTTTAGCTAAGGAAGAAATCATTGTTCAGTGGCGCTTGAGATGACCGCTGTATTCCATCAGCAGTGAGAATTCCTACCTGAGCAGTCATGGTCAGAGTGCTCCCAGGAAAAGAGTGGCTGATGTCACTGTTCCTTCATGGCAGCAGCAATATTTCTGTTGACAACCCAGGTTGTAGCTGTCAGACGGTTTTGCATCTCCAGTCCCTGAGAGAAGAACCCAATAATGCATCTGGGCAGCAGTGGTTAGGTTTGTGTTAGTGTCTGGCGTTCAGACGTGGCATTAGCATATGAGAAGACACCGTTTTCTGAAGGCCAGTGAGATAATGGGGATCACCTCTACTTGCCACCATGTATTAGAGAGTGTTTTTTTCATAGGGCTACCATTGTACCTTTGCAGATCCAGGATGCCAGAAACCATGTGAACCAAGCCATTTACCTGCTTATGAACCGAGATGTGAACTACCAGTTCAAAACAGGCTCGGAGGTGCTCAAGGTGAGGAGAAAGCCCTTGCTGCTTGGGTAGGAACATGCATTTTTCCTCCCTCCATTTGTTGTTTTAAACACAGTTAATGCACACTGCTGTCTGAGTCTCTTAATGGAAATGGACTTTGCAGTTGTACCTGGGTCAAGGAGTGTCCATGTGACCTTGTATTTGATATGAATCTGTACCAGTTTGGCATCAGTAATCTGAGCAGTTGGTGCCCTGTTGCACACCAGTGATAATCTGGGAGGATCTTCCTTGATCTTCGATGGATGATGTGGTTACAGTTCTCTGTTGATCAGTGCTGCTGGCAAGAGCAGCAGTGAGGCAGCCATCAGCAAAGAGAAGATGACAGTACTTGTGATTTACTGAGGATTTGAAAGTGACTTCTCACTTGCCAGTAGTAGCTGCTGGGGTCTGATAGAGCAGCTGCTGCATGGCAGTGAAGCCCAACCCTCTGGTTGGAAGTGCTCTCTGAAGGCACCAGAGTTTCAGCTTGCTCATTGCAATCCATCACAACATCAAACATGAGAAAACTAGATCTTTTTTAGTTTCCACATGGGCAAGGGCTGCTCATAGGGAGAAGTTCAGGTAATAAAACTATTTTCTTTTTAATTTCAGGTGGAAGTAGGGAGAGGAATTAGTCATAATATAAAATGCCTTCATCTTAGCAATCATGAGCTCTATTACAGACCTATGTTGCTTCCCCGTTTTTTTCTGGAAAAGAAAGTCTGCCTGAATAGAGCCTTTGAACTGTGGTTTCTGGCAGGGTTGGCCTCACAATGAGCTGGTTCTTCTTTCTAGTTCCCTCGGTCATAGCTGGTTATGGAGGGGGGGAGCCCATTCAGCAGTTGTACCTGTGATGTGGGAATGGGGAGAACGAGAAAGCAGTGTTTTTTTCCTTAATGCCCCCTCCTCTGAAGAGATGATGATGATGAGTTTGTCGATGCTTCTGTGGCATCAGTAATTGAGCTCATGTTCTCTTGGTATTCTTGTAATGAATAGCTGTTTTCTTGTCAGTCCCTGGTATTGAACACTCCTGGCTCATCTCACGAGTGTCTGATTGTGGTAACAGTTAAACAGCATTTCTGTGGCAGCCACCCCTACCCAATACATCCCTGAATTCCTGGAAGGGTTAGGGGGGTGATTGTGGTTGTTGTAACACTTGCAGAAGGCTGTAGGATTCTGCAGCATGCTGTCCAGAGCTGTTTGGGGATCACACTCAGCAGTGTTCTGTATGTTATCTTGTAGCTTATGGATGCTGTGATGTTGCAGCTCTCCAGAGCCCGAAATCGGCTGACCACTCCAGCTACCCTAACACTACCAGAAATTGCCTCTAGCGGTCTCACAGTAAGTATATGCTGGTCTAGACCTCCATATAGGTCTGGCAGCATGCAACAGTTTGGATGTTGGGCAGCATCCTGGTGGAAGTGGGTTTCTGAAGTGTCTCTTGAGGCAGGGATGAAGCAAGTGCAAACCCTGAGTGGTTTTGGCTGCTCTGTATCTTCTTGTGGGAGTGGCAGATGACTTACTCTCTGAGAATCAGTCCTCATGCCTAAGTTCTGTTCTCTGCTCAGGAGTCATGTCTAGGGATGATTTGCCCTTGTGAACACTGCTCCATCCTCTCTTTTCACTGTCATGCACATACCATTTGATCAAGGGCAGTGAGAGAAACAACCGTTGCCTGCAGCTGCTCAGTCTTTGTTTCTCTCCTAATGTCTCTCTTGCCATTGTAACTGTAGTGTGGCTTAGGAAAAGGGAGTGATTTCCCAGCATTAGAAATGATGGTCCTTTCACTGACAAAGAAACTACTTATTTTCTCACCAGAAAATGTTCACCCCTGTGCTGCCTCCAGACATCCTTGTGAATTTCTATATTAATCTGAACAAGCTGTGCCTCACTGTCTACCAGCTCCATGTGCTGCAGCCCAGCACAACCAAGGTGATGTCTGCTATTTCCTGAGTCTTGTTTAGTTCCCTCTCCCTGCATCCCACTGCAGGGAGGAGATCACACCGCTACCTGGTACAATGTTATGGGCATAAGATAAGGCAGAAATGACAGTAACTGGTGCTAAGTGTCTGTGTTTAGGTCTGCTGCACACAGAGCACTGTCTCTAAATCTAATTTGGGGCATGGCTACTTAGCCCAGAAGAACATACCAGTGCTCTGGAGAAAGCCAGTAACTATTTATCACTAAGTACTTACAATATAGTTTGATAATTTTGCGTAATTTTGGGAGGGCATAATTATATTAATCCAGTTTACATCAAAGTAGCATCTTGCGTTTCCTGAATGGAGTTTTGATGGATACTTTTCTCCTTTACCTGTTGCATGGATCAGTTTGATGTAGTGGGTTGACCCTGGCTGGATGTCAGGACCCACCAAAGCTGCTCTGTCACTCCCCTCTGCAACCAGACAGGGGGGAGAAAATATAACAGTTCATGAGCTGACATAAGGTCCGGGAGAGATCACTCACCAAATACAGTCACAGGCAAAGCAGACTCGAATTGGGGATATTAATTGAATTTATTACTAACAAGATCAGAGCAGGATAACGAGAAATAAGATAAATCTGAAAAACACCTTTCCCTCACCCCTTCCTCCTTCCCAGGCTCTCCCTCCTCCCTCCAGTAGTGGAGGGAGATGGGAATGGGGATCATGGTCAGTTCATCCATCACACGTTGTTCCTGCCACTGCTCAAGGAGAGGATTCCTTCCCCTGCTCCAGTGTGGGGTCCCTCCCACAGGAGACAGTCCTCCATGGACTTCTCCAGCATAAGTCCATCCCACAGGCAGCGGTTTTCCACAAACTGCTGCAGCATGGGTCACTCTTCCCCAGGGTGCAGCCCTTCAGGCACAGACTGCTCCAGTGTGGGTCCCCCAAAGGGTCACAAATCCTAACAGGAAACCTGCTCCCAGGGCTCCTCTCCTCCTCTTACTCTGCAGGTCCCTGCCAGGATCCTGCTCCAGCATGGGTTTCCCATGGGTTCACAACCCTCTCTTGAGCATCCACCTGCTCCAGTGTGGGTCTCCTTCCTGGGCTGCAGGTGGATCTTTGCACCCCTCTGGCCCTCCATGGGCTGGAGGGGCACAGCTGCCTCATCAGGGGCTTCCCCACGGAATCTCAGGGGAATGTCTGCTCCAGCATCTGGAGCACCTCCTGCCCCTTCCTTCTGCACTGCCCTGGTGGTCTGCAGAGCTGTTCCTCTCACATATTCTCCCTCTGCACAATAACTTTTCTTTATTTTCCTTTTTAAATAGCTTATCCCCAAGGAGTCACTGCCATCTCTGATGGACCAGCGGCAGGTCCATCCCGGAGCGGGCTTGAGTTGGCTCTGGCGGACGTGGGGGAAGCTTCTGGCAGCTGCTCACAGAATTCACCCCTGTAGCCCCCCCACGACCAAAAGCTGGCCACGCAAACCCAATACACCTGTAAAAACATCATTAAACTCTTAAACTTTATGAAATGCAGTGCTTCCATAAGGAAGATTTCCCTAAAAGTCTATGTTATGTTTTTCTTCTTGTCCTTCTTATCTTATTTTTGTAGTGCTAATATTTGGAGCTAAATTGAACTCCACCACTGTGTAGGATATTTTTAATGAAGGAGGAGAAAGGGATCTGAAAACATGGATTACATATGGATGGAGTATCCAGGCAAATAGAGTGTGGGCATTTCTAGGTGTCAGGCTACTGAAAGTGCAAACCTGAAATGCCTTTCTTCTAAGTGGTTTGTTTACTGCATCAAAATCCTAATGAACTTTTCCTTCTCTAGAACTTCAAGCCTGCTGGAGGGTCCATTTTACACAACCCTGGGGCCATGTTGTAAGTACAGTCACTACAGGGGTAGTGTACCTGGGTAACAGGTGTAGGTGTGTGCTGAGGGTGAGATCCAAATAGCTGTGTGCAGTTTTCATTGTAGCATCTGTGAAGCAGAGAAGCTGGACTGAGTCACTTGCTGTGCCTGTGAATGTTCTGTTTTGTCTCTTTAACGACTTGTCCATAAAGGCCCAAAGATGTGAATTTCTAGGATCCAGCCCATCCATACAGTGCCATGAGTTTAGTTAGAATAAGAGTTTTCAACCAAAATGAGCGTTCGGTTATTGGTGTTGCCATTGTCATTTCCTGCTTCTGTGTCTCTCTGGAATGTTAAGAAATTCTGCCTTCACCCTTTAGCTTAACTCTAAATCTGGTCAGAGGTGGACTGAGTCTTTGCATTCTCGTAACTTTGCCAGATGCTGATTTAAATGTGGTAGAAGTCATCAGTCTCTCCTGTGGGAATGGAGGACAGTGGAGTTGTGCTCTGTGCCATTGTGTGTGAAGCTGTGCTCTTCTTCCCCTCTCCAGTGAGTTTGGCAGCCAGCGGTATGAAGTCAGCCATGTCCATAAAGTGGAATGTGTTGTCCCGTGGTTAAATGATGCCCTTGTGTTCTTCACAGTTTCACTGCAGCTTTGCCAGCAACTGAAGGACAAGGTAATGGGCTTGGAGAAGGGGCTTTGGTTTTGACTCTGGATTTTGAGAGGACCTTAGATCTGATGCGATGTTATTTTGTACAACTTGCTGAAAACAAGGGATGAATCAGTGCTCTGGAGCCAGGGAGCTGACTGGCACTGCCTAGCTGACAGCCATAAGTATAGTGGTGTGGCAAATGTCTGCTGAGCTAGTGACTAGATGGAAAGGAGCAAGTAGACACTTTTGTGTTCTCAGTCATGAGCTGGATGACAGGAAACACCAGGGTGCTGGAGGGGAGCATGGAGACCTCAGCAACCTAGATTCCAGTAGAGCAATGCTCAGTTCCAGCTCTGCAGCTGGCCTGGCTGCCACCTTGAGCAAATAACTTTGTGCTCCAAGTACCTTCAGTGACAGCAGCAGCAAACCTGCCCATCAGCAGCGCACTGCTGAAGTGTGTAATGCTGTGAAGCTCAGACCTCATTATTATGTGCTCTTTCCTCCGTGGTCCAAGGGGTACAGGAACTTACCTGCTTTTCTTCTTGCTTTTCAGATCTCCGTTTTCTCCAGTTACTGGAACTACAGGCCATATTAACTCTCTGTGGAATAGTTTAAGCCCTTACAGTACTTCCAGTGTCTCTCTCTTTGTTTTCTCATCCCATCTGAGTCTAGGTCAGCCTGAGGAATGTTGGAGTTCACTGCCAGATGCCCTCCAAAGGGCAGGGTCAGTGTACCCAGAGACACAGCTTTAGTAGCCTTGTCTGGGACTGCTGCATAAGCAGGTCACAAAGCAGTGCTGGGTGATTGGAGCTTCCACCTGTCCCTGTCCTCTTGTGCATTGTGTGGCTCACATTTCCCAAGCTCCTGATGACTTACACGGGTCTGTTACAAGGGATGAGGGCTCTGGACCACCCTCATTAACTGGATCTGTACACAGTGCTGTAACTTAACTCCTGGACTGGGGGGTGGCTGGGAAGAGGGGAAGGGTAATTTAACACACCTCATAAAAGGTAGGGCATGTTGCTCCACGTAGTGAAGTACTTTGCTGTGATCTGCTCCAGCCGTAGTTATCACTAACCCTGAGCGACTCCCTCTCCTGCCTGTTCTGTCCATCCCCATGTTACTGATTCGCCTTTGAGGATGCTCTTACTTGCTGATGTTTGAACTCTTTGGTTTTTTTTCTTTTTTTCCCTGGCATCAATGTGATTTTTTTTTTCCCTAAGCCCTAGTTGGGCTCATTGGTCTTTTCCAGGTTTAGTATCTTGTTTTCGCTGCTAGCCTTTGGAGTTGCCTTGGTACCTTGAGCACAGCTGTTCAGTCCCTCATCCTGTCATTAAATACAAAGTGAGTACCACACTGCTACACTGATTTGCTGCCTATGGATGCTACAGTGTGTAACTCATCCCTTTAGCCATTGATAGCTGAAATAAAGACCCTCAGACCTGCAATGCTCCTTTGGGCTGTGAAAGAATTAGTATCTGAGATTGTGTGCTCTCTCACAAGTGAGTGACTGTTCTTGGTTATGCATGCTGCGTTTCCTTTTGCCTTACTGGGAGGACGGTAGTGGTCTCTGGGGCACAGCTGGGCAGCTCTTCAAAGGCTGGGCCTGGTTTAAATGGCCTCAGCCCAGTGCTATCTGACACCCAAGTCCTACTTGAAGTAGTTTTCCAAACTTGTCTTGAAGAGGCCACAGTTACTGAGCCTGGGTTGGGTTGGCTCATGGAGCTGGCTGGGAAGTGATGAGAAGCATCACCTGTCTCCTGGTAGGCTCCAGCTAGCTGTTTCCAGACTGTTTCTGGTGGCTTCCCTCACTGGAATACCTTGCCCAGGATCCTACATGTGTGCTGAGGTGAGCACTGCAGGCTCACCATTTTTCCTAGAAAACAGCAAGCTTGATTGTCCACTGACAGCTTGGTTGTTTTCCAAGTGCCATCCAGAGCTCTATGTTCAAAGAAATCACAGAATGGTTGAGGCTGGAAGGGGGATCTCTAGGTCTATCCGGTCCAAATCTCCTCTCAAGAAGGGCTGTCCAAACCTTGTCTCCCAGTACCGTGTTCAGAGGGGTTTTGAATCACTCCAAGGGTGGAGACTAGAGGTTGGTGTGTTGCTTTCATTTTTATTTGTCCTGCATAGACCTTTGCTCTGGGCATGTGACCTGTCTTGTCGGTGCCCTTCCTTCCTGCCCCTTTGTGAGATCCCTGGGTGTGGCATTTATTAATATAATAAACTCACACGACTCGGTTGGTTGGGGGTCCAAACAACCAAATCCGTTTATTGGAAGCAAACAGCATCTTTTATATGCTTTTTAAAACAACATGTGATTCTCTTAACCAATTACCATGGGGCACCCCAGTGCCTATGTGCAGGAGTACAATTGGGACTTCATCTCCCAAGACGCTCCTTCCAGTATCCCTAAAACATGCCCTTGCACCCGGGATTCTGTGTAGGTTAGTGCCAGCCTTGTGCTGCTGCAGCCTCCTTCTCTGGGGACTTGACACTTGTTGCTGTGCTTGGCCTAATGCATGCTGATGTCACAGGTTGCAGGCCATAACAGAGCCTACACATGAGCATCAGCCTGTGACTGATGAATGTGTGTGAATGAATGTGGAAGGTAGAGAGGCCTGAATGGGCTGATGCAATAGCAGACTTGTTACTGATTCCAGTCAGTTAGCCTTATGACTAGTTGCGGCCATGACCCTGGGTGTGCATTTACCAACCCTTGCTCTGATCCAGACCATTTTCTGCTTAGAAAGTGATTGTGCATGTGTGGAGCTGCTCACCATTAACAGTCTCTCAAAGGAGAATGTTTTTATGGTTAATAAGCTCTCTGGTTATTAACTGTGTATGGTCTTTTTTAGCCCTCCCTGTGTGCAGAGTGAGCTCCTTTTTTAATTCACACTAGTGCGTGCGGTTCAATCAATATTGTCACAGAGGCCAACTCAGCTTCCTGCTGGTGGGGGTAGAATATGCAACCAAATGCGTGTTGTTTTCTTCTGATGAGAAAAGTCTTCCTCGGTTCTGGAAGGCAGGAGTGTGCAGAATGGAATGCCAGTCCTGATTCCAGCTCTGATGTGCGAGGGCAGTGCAGGGAGGACTGCTGGAGACTGCTTGAGTTGCTGGGATCAGAGCAGCTGCCTGCCCAGCCCAGCTCCAAGGGAAGTCATCTGGCACATGCCTCGTGCTGAGCTCTGTGCTCACCCATGAAGGTGGCAAAAGCAGCAATGTCCCGCTTAATCTCAAAGAATCTTTTTCTTGCCCGCCAGCTCAGGAAGGTGTAGATCTCACTTTCCAGGACTGGGCTTTGGCTCGGCTCCATTTCTGCTCAGAGCTTCTCGGGGGTGGGGGAGACCTGGGGACCTGCTGGGCAGTGAGACAGCCCCTGTGAGCCGGGAGGACTGGAAGAGATGCAGCTACACGCTGCCAGTCCCTCGCTGGAGGATGCAGGCCATCACCTGAGTCAGGTGAGCCTTGTAACCCTGCCACTGAACCGAGGCTTGGGCATGGCCGTGCGCGGTGGGAAGGCTGTTCCCGAGCTTAGAGCAGGAGTGGAGTGAGATGACTCCTGTCAGGAGGGATGGAATCCCCAGTAGCCGACCCACAGTGTCCAAAAAGAGGAGTGAATGGTCTTGTGTGAAGGGAAGGGACTCAGAAGGCAGGAAGTGACAGAAGCACAGGGCACACTGCTTTCGTTGTCTCCACCGAGTGACATGGAGCAACACAACCGAACAGAAACGGAAGACTGAACATTGGTTTTCCACAAGTTGTTAATGCCAACAGTTAAAAAATGAGCAGCAGTATCAGCTTGAGGCAAATCATTTAACTGTCACATTGTAAATGACCCTACTCTTTTCTGAACTGTGATTATTTTTTAAACTGCTAGTCCTGAGAGGAGGAGGGAGTTGGACTCGATGGTACTTATGGGTCCCTTTCAGCTTTTGAGATATTCTGTGCAGTTCAGGGATGCTTCGTCTCACAGGCTGTGTGCGGAGCAGCCTTGCCATCCTGTGTGGGTCCTGTGAGGATGTCTCACCAGTGGCCTGACTCGGTTTCCCTGTATATGGGTGTACCTTATTTGCTTTTCCTTTGTCATGTTGAATTCATGTCTACCTGAAGGAATCATAGCTGCACCCACACTTCCTGTGTAGGGGTGTCTATGTGTATATGCCGAGGGGCAGCAAGTCCTCGATCTTCAGGTTCTCATGGTTTTTGACCAGGCATGGGATCTTAAAGGAGAGCTTTCAAGAAGCAGCTGCAGTGGTGGATAACCCCTCTGCCCAGGTGGGTCCCCAGGTGCCAGCCAAGGAACTGGGCACCAACTGCAGAGCTTACCTTATCCCTGACCCATTGGCAAACCAGCCTCTCTCCTGCTGTCTTCTACCGGTGCTGGCGAAGATTCTATGGGGTGGGGCAGGATGAGAGGGTCAGGGTCTCTAGAACGCACCTATTGTAAGTCTGTCCCCACTCCTGGTCCGATTGTGGGTAGCCCTTTCCAGGCATCTGGGCACATAAAGCAGCTCCCAGGGACAGGCTTTTCTAACGTGATGTGCTGGTTTTAAAACTCAGTGGGAAAACCAAGCCCGCTCAAATTGCCCCATTGACAGTGGAGGAAAGAATACTAGGAGAGGAGTCACAATTTACTAAAGAAATTGCAATATACACAACAACAATAGTAAGAGATTATGCAAAAGAGGGAACCACAAAGGCAAGATGTTGCCTAGCCCCCCTAGAACAAGGTGGTGACTGTTCCCATGCAGCAACACCACATGGCCCCCTGGGAACAAAGGCAAGATGGCAAAGAGGCTCTCCTGGCTTAAACTTCACCCCCTTCCCCTGCCTAGGAACAATGAAAAACCAAATGGGGACAACCCAAAACCTGGAGAGCTGATTCGTTTGAATTGGGGGGTTTACTACCAAAATGCTGACCCCGGTGGTGGCAGTGGGGACTGGGTACACAGGGTGGCTGACCCTGCTCCTTCCTGGAGAGAGCAAGGCAAAAATGTTGATTTCCGGGTTCTGGTGGCTGCCTTAGGTTTTTTTTCCCCTGCCAAAAACTACACCCCAGCAGCGATGTGGGTGGTATCGAATATTCAGCACTAAAGCTCAACCCCCTTGCTTTGTAACCATAACATTATCCATCCCTTATTCTATACTATTTATGCCATGCCCAGATTTACACCTTTCAACTATATACATAGATATATACACCTATAACTGTGCACAAGCTTGGGTATTATTTCACTAGTCCCTGATCATCCCCCCAAGACGTTTGTTGAGTTCATTTAGTCCATGGCTGGTATAACTGGAGCAGCTGAAGATGGATGGATGGAACATTCCTCAGGAAGGCAGCCTGGAGGCTCTAGTGCTGTGGAAGTGCAAGCAGGACGATGCTTCCAAGCAGCAGGTGCTGGCCTGGTGCTGATGAGAAGGTAGCCAGGGGCCCAGCCTGACAGTGAGCCGAGTGCTGGCAGCTGCACAGCCTGGGCATAGCAACACTTGGGATGGCGTCTGTGCTCCGCCCCCCCCACCGGCTTGACAGTGCTTATGTTGTCTGAAGTGGCAGCAGACAAGCTGGTTTGACAGTCACAGGGGAGTGCAGTGTCATGCCTATCTGGTCCCATCTTCATCCTCAGCAGGAGGGAGGAGGTGGTGTAGAGGTTGATGCACCTGCTTCTGAAGGTGATTCGCTTGGCAGAGCCCATGCTCAAGGTGTTTGCTCTAGCAGAGCTGCTATTCCACCTGCGTCCCCCATTTTCAGGTCCAGGCTCTCATTTCTAGGGTGGGCCACTGGGGAGGGAAACCTCGGTTTGTTGCTCATTTCCAGGAGACTGGCCTTGCTTGCTTCTTGTAGAGGAGTCGAGTGGATGGAAGCATCATGGCAGCACTGTGTCATCAGCTTTGGGGTACAGGGGAGGATGCATGTGGGTCACTGGGGACTGGAGCTAGGAAGAGCCTGGCGTACCTCACTCCCAGGGAGCAGCAGCAGGCCTGTGCCCACTGGGATCAGGAGAGGTGTGGAGCTGAGATGTGCATTGGCTTTGTTCCTCCAGACACTCGATCCTGGCAGAATACACGAATCCATGGGTGCTCAGCCTGAATATGAAAATGCTGGCCTGCGTCCTTGTGGTGGGGAAAAAAAAGTGTTTTCCCCTGGAGCTAAAAAAATGGTAACCCCGAAGGGGTGGTGTTTCTTGGTGTTGACCCAATCAGCACCCCTGCAAAATTAAAACATATCACACCAGACCGGAAAAGAAGGAGGATGACATAGCTGAAAAAGTGGCAGCCATGGTCTTAGACCACGAGGAGACAGGGGGCTAGGAGCCCCGCTGGGGGCCAAGGCCCCACCAGCCCCCCAGCTGGGGCTGCAGAAACTCGGAAACAGTGTTGAACTGGGCTGAGTACTGTGGCCAAGAGCTGAGGGAGTTTTTCTCCACTGTGAGTGGGCAGCAGGAGTGGCAGCAGAGACAGCACCGAACAGAGAACTGTGGCTGAAAGCCAAGAAGATAAGAGAGAAGCAGCAAAGACAGCATTGCAGCCAAGCTGACGGAGGGAGGGAGAGAGGACTAAGCTCAACAAAGATAGTTTTGGGGTAAGACTGAATTAAATCTCCCCAAAACCCCTTTGAGACCCCTCCTGGGAGGAGGGGGTGGACTTCTACTTGATGGGAGTCCTAAAATGCAGCATGCACTGGAGAGAGGAACTGAGAAGCTCAGAGACGTCCTGGAAGCTGGACCAGGACGGCCAGACGGAATGCGGGGGAAGTGGCCTTCTTCCCCTGCTGCTGCTGCCAGGCTGGCAGCTGAGACAGAGCAAAGGAGCTCTGATGGGATGCTTGGGGCAAAGACTGAACTGAGAGCAGCCCTAAACGTTCTGACTTGAGGGAACTTGACCACTCGAGGAAGGGACTTTCATGGGATGTCTTACACCTCATGATACGACGTGGTGAAGCAAGCTTTTGTCCCAGCAATCGCAGTCCACAGGAGAGAGACCTTCACTTGGAGCCGAAGGGCTGAGAGGGGTGAGAGGAGACCCCCTTGTGTGTAATGGAGAGAGCCAGCTACAACAACTCCAGCTATGACTGCTGGCCTGAACGTGGAAAGGATCTTTCCTTCTTCCCTTCTGGACTTTTATTGGAGGGAGAGGAGACTTGATCCAATGTAAATATTGCTTTACCATAGGAGAGATAGTTAGAATTGTGTATATAATGTATTATAATATTTACTTGTGTAATAATTGTAATATAATTCCCTTCCCCCCATATTGAGTCTTGTGTTGTGTCCGGAAAACCCCTCTCACACTGGGGTGAGTTGTGGGAGGGGGCTTGGACTTGGAAATTGGATTTTGGAGGGTCTCAAACCACCACAATCCATGGCTTAGACAGGAGGGAGCTCCTGGTGTTTCAGCAAGCCAGGAAGGCAGAGTGAAAGTAGTGGAAGAGCTGGGTCAAGAGGGAATCCCACTGACACACCTACCAGGATTGCTGGGGTGCCTGGAGGTTTTTTGGGCAGCTGTGAGAGGCAGTGTCTCTTTGGGTGGGGTTTGCTCTGGCAGAGCATGTACTAGGGAAAGTTTAGGCCTTGATTTCTTACTTCCATGGTTTGAAAATCCCCAGCTGCCTTCTGTTTTTGATAAAGCACACCTGTTTCCAGACTGAGCTCCAACTCAAGAAAATTCTGAGTGTTCCAAAGGGAATGTTAACAAGACCTTACAAGCCCCCATGTGAAGAGGATTAGGAGACTGTTATGGATGCTGCTTTGGTGATAATAATAATGGCCAGTCTTCGCGAGCGAAGATTTGGGAAAGGTCATTAACCCTTCGAGCCTGCGCAGTGGATTTTTTAGGTGAGACACAGCGTGCGCTGAACTGAGCCCACCCTTTAATCCTAAGGTTCATCTGCCGGGGCCAAGCAAACTTGGACAGTGGCAGTGAGGTCCCCAGGACGTAGGTTTGTTTAGAGTGACCTTCTCTTAGATGGATTGCCTCACAGGGCTGACGAGCTCCATCTGCCCGGGGGGCTGGGAATCGAACCCGGGTCGCAGCGGTGAGAGTCCTGCACCCTAACCACTAAGGTGATACTATTGCTGCTATTCTTTCATTAAGGGAGAAGCTGAGGAACAGGGAAGATTCTTGGTGCACACTTAGCGTGGGAGAAGTTTAGACCTCAGTGCTGTAAGATTCAGTTGCTATATAGTGATCTGGAAGGACTGCTGGCTGGTCCTGCTGCTGTCCTTGCAGAGAGCCATGGGCAGTGGGTGAGGCTGGTGTAAGTGTGGTGCTGAGTTCTCAAAAGCTTGGGCAGTCCTCTGGGTAATGCTTGTGTCTGGGTAAGTCTGAAAAAGAGACAGACACACCATTCATAAGGACCCACAGAATAATATTCCCTTCCCTCAGCTAGGGGCTGCGTGGGAGCCACAGGAAATAGGAATGCTTCAAAACCAGGGAGTCTGCACTTGTCATAGACTCACCTGACATGTGTCATGGCCTGTCATAGATAAGGATGTATTGCACGGACCTAAAGGTTTGCCTCCTCTGCCCTGGATGTGAGTGGCTGCACATGGAGCCTGTCTCTTGGCTGTCCTCTCCATGGCTCGTTGCACATGTGCAGCACCCCGGGAGCAGGAAACATGTAGGTGCACAGGAGAGCGTGTGGCTCCTGTGGGTGGGAGACAAAGCCGATTCTGTTTTCTGGTGATCTCTGTAGGGGGTGGGATTGGTTGTCCTGATTGCTGTGAACAGCGGGGCAGACTGTGTGTCCCTGCTCCTCTCCCTACAATCTAATTAGAGCCAAATTCCAGCACCGCTCAGATTACAGAATAGAAGTGTTTTCAGTTAACTTGGGAAATGAATGTTTTACCTCTCAGCTTATCAAGAGAGTCAATAACTCACCTGAAAGATATCCATGCGTGCTGATTCACTGCCCAGAGATGGGGATGACATCGGCGTCTCATATCTTCCTGATATAAGAGCTGGGATGGGGCAGTGACACCAGAGGAAGACAGTGTCTGGGTAAATTTGCCCACAGGGCCAGCTGGATATCTGAGTGGGCTTACAGGAGGGTGGGAAGATAGCTGGTGACATTAAAAGCTTGAATGGGCAAGAGGCAAAACCCAGCATTTATTTCCTGGGGGGGCCAGAGAAATGTGAAGAAGAACTAACTTAAGCAGATGGTGAAAATGGAGAGATTTTGATCGTAGAGAAAAGACTGTCTCCGAAGTGCTGGAGCCAGTGTGGGAGGTGGTCCTCGTCTCTTGAGTTCCAAAAGTCACTCAGCATCTTTCTGCATCTCCCCATAACGCTCATGCTGCTCCTCCTTTGCTGCATTCCCTGGCTCTCTCCCTGTCTCTGAGCTGCTCTCTTCCCCACTGAACTTTGGGATGGGGACACCCTTCTTGCTGGGCCCCTCCGGATCGTGCCATGAGCTTTCAGACATTATGACTGCTGGGTGTGGGGAAGTGCAAGAGAGATGTGAAAGCAGTTTCTTCTCTTTCATGAAATCTCTGGGCTCTGTGTGCTTAGTAGTGGTGTGGGAGATGCCCAGGTTTGGGGGTCAAATCTCATGAAGGGAATCAGCTCATGAGTGAGGGAGACAAGGAGGGAATGCAAACACTAGTACCAGTCCATGAGAGGGGACAATGGTGCCACTCAGTGAGTTTCTGCTCAGGTGAGCTGCCCATCAGAGAACATTTCCAGCCTTGTCTCACCCCAGAGAGCCCAGGTGGTCAGACAGTGTGCCCTTCCCCTCTGCAAACAAGCTCCTGCCAACCCTATCATCGGGGCTGACCTTTAACTTTTCTTTGAGAAAACCTTTGCCTTAACTTGAACATTCCCACTGTGGGGTGGATGACTTGCTGCCAATTCAAACACTTTTATATTACCTGGTAAAAGAAATGCATGCTTTGCCCCCAGTCTGAGAGTGTGCAGCTTCCATTCTCAGCTAGGGCTGAGATT